CGCTCTTCTTAATACCGCGACTACTAGCAACGACGCAGTAGTAGATGATGAGTTCGACCGATGGAAACACTGCGAGCCGCGCGTAGAGAGAGGCACTGAATATGCCAACAACCCTACAAGATACTGGATACTCATGCGAGATCGTTACCCACGCCTTAGCAGGCTTGCGCTAGACGTGCTCTCGATACCAGCGTCAAGCTGCGAGTGTGAGCGCATGTTCAGTGAGCTTGGGGATCTACTAGAGCCTCGCCGACGAGGCATGCAACCGCAGCTTTTAGCGGCGATACAGTGCGTACGACGGTGGCGTAAAGCTGGTTTAGGCAACGATAATATTAGCTCAAAAGTCACTATAAGTGATGATAGTATAGAGACGTTGTATGAGCTGAGTAAGTGGGATAGCGATATCAATAGTGATAGCGAAACTCAACACCAAGAATAGTCGCTGTAGCTATAGCTAATATTATCTACTTAACTAGCTTTGAAAAAGACGCTATGACCATCAAGCTCATCAAGCTCATCAATCAAGCTGGCTTGATACACCAAGCCAAGCTGAGTCAAGCCAAGCTGACAGTTTTGCTTTTGCCTATCAAGCTGAGGCAAGCCAAGCTGGAGCTTGGCTTGGCTTGATTGTTGACATCTCTGATTGCATGACTCCAACAAGTGGCTGATACCATGTTCTGTTGCGTGGCTTGTCGAATGGACGTGCTCCTACCGCCGCCCGTGTGAACAGTGCCAGAATGACAGCTGCTCTGACCGTAGAAATAGTAGTACACGGACGTCGGCTTTCGATGTATTGCAGAGATGTTTCATCGTATCCCTTCTTGGTGACCATGTTCGAAGTTGCAGAATCAGCCATGGCATGCGTTGATGGACGCGAAATTTCTGAAAAGAGAATAGCTTGAAGCCTATGTCCTAATGCGGTCTTTTGTCATACCTTCCACAAGGCATAGAGTGCACTTTTTTCTACTGAGATATTGAATCGGTAAAGCAGCTGTTAGGGATGAATTATCGTGAAGTCGAAGTCCCTCTCGTAACGCGGGCAGATCGGTAAGAGTAAATCTATCAACCTAGATGAGCAAGACCTAAACTTTGTATAGTCCATCAAGTACTAGTTATGTCAACTCTCAAAGCGCTTACCACCTCCCAAGGCTGTATCAGTTAACATAGGATATCTCAACAGACATCAAGCGCTCGAATTCAAACGGGCTAAACGTGATCAGTCATGAAATGATGCCAAAACCAAAGCGTGATGAAAGTACAGGTTCATCACTACTTGACGGACGCTGAAGTACTTTAGACTGCAGTGTTCTAATACTGCAACGGCCGCCCCAATATCCCAATCGAGCCTAATACGAGGCAAAATCATATTTGTACAAGTGCGATTCACCATTAATGCAAGTCATCTCCGGCTACTATAATCGTTTAACGAGACCCCGCATGAATAACTGCCACTAGTACCATCTTAGCATAGTGATTATCACCACCCGAACCCGGGATGCACCCGGCCGCAAACGGGCCTTCAATATATGAAGTCTTGTTCCTTTTGTTCCCCTTGCGCGATTTTGACTATAAATGTCGATTGAACCGCCACCTTTGAACAAACGATTCATGATACAGGTATTCTGCGATTCCTGCCAAGATAGAGACCTCGTATGCATCCAATATCAACTACAAGCAGCCAAGGTAGGCTTTAATCAAAACTATTGTGAATAATCAACATTTCTCTACGTAAGGTTTACGGCGCTACATGATGACTGCGCACATAAAATTGCCAACAGGTTTCAGGCGTAGACTGCCCAAAATGGACGCAGCGCCGAATTGCGCACTGCTTAAGGAAAAAACTATAACGCTCCTATTATGATTTAGACATAACCGAGGCACATGGGTAGAGCTCCTCCGCAAAATAGTAGACATGGTTGGTGGGAGTACTAAATGAGTGCTATATGCCTTGAGGCTGTGGCCATTTCGCACTTTATGTTCGGACCGAAGAGCAAGCATCATATAAACGCTCACGCAGTTGTTTCCCTAACGTCCATGTAGCCCTGGATTATAACTGAATACTGCAAAAGTCCGACGAGGAAACAGGCTTTTAGGAGCGGGATATGTTTGATTAGGGAAAGTGTTACCCGGTACGGCGGCAAACACAGGCCTTTATGCCTATTCTAGTCGATTGCGGCTTGGCAATGCAATTTAATAAGATGCCAATTATAGCAGACCCTTGAGACGCGTTGCTTTCCAGGACTAGCAACATAAATACTTACAAAGTCCAACTGTCGCTCCCACCACCCACTCATCAGCACTTCTTCACTTCGCAGTATCTATTGATCGACTCATTTAATCCATCGACAAACCGGCATTAATATCCAGGATGCGCTTCTCCACTATCCTCCCTGCTCTCTTCGCAGCCGCAACCTCGGCGGCCAAGTTCCAAAACTACATCGACAACTCGTGCCAGAGCTACGCCGGAGACTTCAACTTTGTTTCGGCAAAGGAGCAGCAGCAACTTACTCTGCAACAATTTGCAAGCGTGCCCGAGTGGAGTAACAAGGACAGAGATCTCCAGTGCCCCCACAACAAGCAGAACACTTACCGATACGTACGTCGTGCATCATCTACAACACGCTATTTGGACTTGGCAATACTGACTCCATCTAGATCCTTGTGCCCCAGTGGAACTCTACCGGAGTCGAGAGCCCTCGTCCCACAGTACAGGGAGGAGGCTTCACTGTCATCTACCACGACGACACCGACACGTACGCGCTCTGCTACTACTTGGCCTCGCCTACAAAAGACTCGTGGGGATCGTTCGGAAAGTGCACAAAGGATGTTTAATTGACCGTCTAGCATTTTCTCGATTGCCATAGCCGTCAACAGTCATTTCGTGTGTGGATGCATGGGCGCGGACTCTTAGCACGCCAAGTGTTACACGGGGTTTCCTAACACTATCAGAAACTATACTTACCTAGTCTCGGTCCGGGTTAGGGCGAGGCTGTCTGGCTGAAGTATCCGTGAGGTAATTGTCTGGCGATAAGGTGGAGAAGAGTTATAGGAGTTAACCGGGTTGGTAAGACAAACCAATTCTATTGGAAGATAGAATAACTAAGTATCAATCTGTATGAGAGAAGAACTTATGAGAGTTGACCACAACGAGTGTAATAATGAAATCCAACCCATTCTTATACCCATTGCCTTTGGTCCTGTTCTCCCTCTTCTCCCTTGACATCCTTGTCTTTTGGGAGATGTGGGAGAACGCCTTCTCCCATCCTGGCCCATTATCCCTTCCTTGGCGGGAGAATGGCTCTTGGCGGGAGAGCGCATCACGTGACCTCGAGCCCCGCGATGATCATTACCTTCTGACGTGGACGTGGTTGGCCTTCAACCTCGTCGTCCCCCGTCAAGGGGAGAATCCTTCTTGTTACTTGTAACACCAAGGTCCAACTCCCACACTCGCATTTCAGCACTGGAAACCATGATGCACAACTACCTCCGGTCTACTTAATTGTGGATTAGTACTTCTTCTGTAATGAAATGTTCTTGGGTTATTAGTGAACGTGCAATAATCGGTGATAGTGATGCGTTTGCAAGTCCATGTTTAGACGCTTGCTTATTGTGCATGTCGTGTTAAGGCTTAGCACGAGTAATCTTACTTGTTAGGCTACGATTCCTTGTACAATTTAGATTGTGGCTTTATTAGGAAGTGTATTAGTGTCTAGGCGCTCTGGTTCTTTGTAGATCCTAGACATAAATTCAAGCTGTGCTATTTTTAGTATTATAGCCATTTCACTGGAGACTCCCTTCTCATAGCGAACGACGACTCTGGGATCCAACAAAAATACTATCCAAGAATTCAGCAAATGCGTAACCACAGGAAATAGTTTGGTCAGGCGCTGAGTAGCCAAAGGCCAGCGAAGTAGGGGTCGTGCAGTGGGTTCCTTCTTTACAAACATGGGCGGTCAGTACTATCCTGGGCAGCAGGGGAGGGCACGAGACGAGCTCTGAAGGTCTTACTTCAGCACCCCTCTGTCGACCTGAATCTGAGGGATATCAAAGGACTCTCTCCACTGTTGTGGGCTGCGAGAAATGGCCAAAGGGAGGTGGTTAGTGATTTGATGCACAAAACAGGAGTCAACAAAACCGCAAAAGATAAGGACTTACGCAATGCGATCTCCTGGGCATGTCAAGGGGGACATACTGACACTTTGCGCATTTTACTAAAGAACAAGTGCGGCGGTGAGGACGACGTCGATATTGATGGTTGGACACCATTACTATGGGCACTCTTTGATAGATCTCCAGCGACTGTGGAAACACTTCTTTCGAGCCGTCGCGTCCAAATCGACCGCCAAGACAGCTATGGGCGTACAGCTTTGATATGGGCTGCGAGTTATGGGTATCTAGACGTGGTGCAGTTACTAGTGTCTTGGAAAGCAAATCTGCTTATCAAGAATCAAGGTGGACATGCTGCTGCAGATGTTGCAAGGATAGAAGGGCACACTGAAGTGTGGGAGTTTTTGGAGGCTGAGCAAAACAAGGAAACATAGAAAAATGTGGATGAGTAGTTTATACTAGGTAATGTCCCATCAATCGTCGTAAGCCTGTGGAAGGCAGCTAAGAGCAAGTACTGTAATCTAGGGAGTGCCTCCTGAAACTTGTCCTGACGAGTAGTTAGTTAGGTGCGACAGTGAACTAAAGGAGACTAGCAGATACAATCAATCAATCCGCTTTACAGTGGTTCGCTCAGGATAGACTCTTCATGCATATTTATACAGCTTTACAGATTCTAAGACATATGCGCAAACCCTCTATCACTTCCGAGGCTGACCGAGGCAGGTCTCTCGTGGATACTGGCAGCAAATCGCGGTATTGCTAGCCACACAGTAACTTGTTGCTAAAGACACGCAACGCAAAGGAACTATCATGGCCGATGTCTATATCTCAAGATTTGCTAAGCCTCTCAGCTGGGGTTGAGTTTGTTGTGGTGGGAGCATCATCGGCATGCCGCCACACAGGGTTTTCCGGCACACGTGGAGGGATAGTAACTACATAGCAACAAAGCAGGCGGCAACGCTCATTGGTGTATGAGCGTCACTTGATTTTCACACGCTAATCTTTACTGAGACTAATTATCGTATAGGCAGCTGCAAGCGACTGTTGTTTAATTTTTTTTGGATTTGAAGCCAAATATGAAGAGCTTTTTTGTACAGTCACAAAATTTTCAGTCACATGACATTAATCGTGATGTGATAACTGTTACTGCTACAATCGAGGCTAGTTAATTTTAGGAAAAGGAGGCATCATCTGTGTACGTAAGAGATGCGTCAGTGCTGCTGTTAAAGCAGCACTGACGCACTGCCCATCTATGCACGAATGATATGTCGTGTAGCAAGCCACCAACACTGGTGTTTTATTAAAAATCATGCGTACCCATGATAAGGCGCTTAGCCATAGTCAGTAATGTGTGCTAATAATCCGTATTCAGCAAAGTGGCTCATAGTACAGTAACCATATACAGACATATTAACAATATTTGTGTCCATCGTGCAAGAGACTGGAGCATCTCTCGTTCGCTCGGTGTTTACTCAAACTGGTTTCCGGTGGGCTAGTAGCCAGGTGGGTGACCACTGGCGAATCCCCACTGTTGTATGTTTTTTGTTTTTTTTGTTCTTGGGATCTCGTATTTGGTGATCTGTAACAGCCAGTCAGATGATAGGATAGGATAGAATTGGCCCAAAAGGCCCTACACCTACAGACCCTTGCCTCAATTTGATTGATATCGATTGACGGCTGTTTAAGCAATAGTTGGACAATGTTCGCATGATCTCCTATTACAGCCCAGAAAAGTGGGGTCCAATGTGCACTATCCTGGTCGTCTGATGTGAGCGCTCCATGTTTTAGCAGGATTTCAACAATCGTCAGATGTCCATTCCCTGCTGCAAATGATAGTGCTGATCTTCCGGATTTGCCTCCAATAGCAACGTCCGTGGATGGCTCGTTGAGAAGTATCTGTACAGCATCCAGATGGCCATACTGTGCGGATATAGTCAAGGGTGTTTGTCGGTCGATACCAATTTCATTAGGGTTTGCCCCATGCTGAAGTAATACTTTCATACACTTCAGTGAGGACCTTCTCGCTGCCCAGAATAGAGACCGAACTTTACTTGCATCGCTGTCAAATTCTGCCTTCTTTAGAACCTCAGCAAGCAGTATGGACAGGTTGAAAAATGCGGCTACTTCGATGGTTTCGAAAACATCTGGAAACGAGTATTCGATGTTATTTTTGAACCAGTAGTATTTCAGCCAGTTGGTCAGAACGTAGCCGGAATTCATCGCCAATTTCTTAACGGCATCCTGAAGAGACCTTGGGGCGATGTCCTCACATAGCGAGTAATGTTCTGCCCAATGGATCGCAGCATAATCAAAAAAACCATATCTTTGTGTTATCAAAGCGCATTGCTCCTCGTCTAAGTCCCCCGAGTTCTTGAAAAAGTTGTCTAGGCCGAGATTATCGTCTGGACCAAGAGGGCCATCTGAAGCTATTGCGTCGAAGTCGGTGTGCGAAAATGATTGATAAGAGCTGGGCGAATTGGTCTCGAGGCTCGTTCTTTCTGAAGCAAAGATGTCCGATTGGAATTCCTTCAGAAGTAGGTACCGTATACACGATCGGGACATTTCCAGCGCTGCATCTACTAAAGAAACCGCAAGGCTCTGCACTTTCTTGTTTGTAGAATGGAGTGCGAGATCTGTTAGGTATTCTTTAGCGGACTGGTGCACAAGCGAAACTTTTGTGTCCCGATTGGGGCTCTCATTCATCTCTCTGATGCGGACGAAAGAACCTATGACGTTCTGCAGCGTTGTGCTGATGGAAAGCTGTAAATCGTTCACCACATCGGCTATAGATTTGTGGTCTTGACTAATCGTGAATGCGATGTTTATCTCTGCTAATGTCAAGTGTCTTGAGCATCCAACAAGTAGATGTAGAATTTTCCCAGCGTCTTTTTCGTTCTCAACTGAGATTCCATCTAGTAATCTGCCATACGTAGCCTCGAGGTTCTGTGGGAATGTATCAATGATCCGTTCGAAATCTCTTTTTGATGCTTTTGGACTTGTTTCTAAGCTATGCAGTACCATATTCAACCAGAGAAAACTCTGATCAGACTTGGAGTACAGCATATGTTCTAGATAACTCCTCGTGTCATTGTCGCAATTGAATTTTCTCGCAATATCGCTGACCTTGCTTCGAATGACCAGCTTCACATCTTTACTGATGTTGCCCTGATCTTCCTCGATTGGCAGTCTGTTCTTGATTAATCCTGTGTGACTGTATGAGTTTCCGAGTGATGGGCGGCTTGTTATCAAAAATTTGATGCAGGTTCGGGACTGTCGATGTACATCCCGAGACTCATTTACTAGCTGCATCATGGCGTTCAGGAAGCTATTACGCGTCTTCACTTCACACTCATCAATAGCATCCACTATGACCCTGATAGCGCTTGATGCGGAATTGGTAGCTATTTTCAGAAAAAGTTCCCAGAGCGCTGAGAAAGAGTTTGCGAGGCTAGGTCCGTCCAGTTCGAATCTTGCTTTAACGTATTTGATGAGTCTTCGGTGCTGCTGTACGATCTGATACAGGATGCCTCGGAGTATAGCGTTTGCATCTCTTTGAGACTTAACTTTATCGTCGCAAAAGAAGTAAAAGACTTGAGGCCTGACTGAAGTAGAATGGTCTAGTCTTAGGTGGTCCGTTAGATATGCAGAGAGCATAGTTTTGCCACAACCGGGTTCGCCTGTGATCCAAAGTAATCTTGTTTCTTCAGTTGTTAGCCAGGACAAATATGCAGGATGGGCCAAAATCCAGCTACAGGTCCCTTGTACCGGCGTTGGTAGTTGCGCTTTGTACTCCAAAAGGTAGATTGAATTCAGGAGGACCATGCAAGATCTTTCAGTTTCGCTCAAAGCTGATGAAATACTTAGCTGGTACGACTATGTGGTTCGACGTTCGTTACATACATTGATTGGACGATGTGCGGTCGGTTTTCATTGCCATTTCTCGGTTTAGGAGGGCTGTCTTGGATAAGCGTTTCATGACATTCAAAGTACAAATGTAACCGCCATCTGTTGCCCCTCCAAAACGGCACATTGTTCTATGATTCGCATAAAGAGGTATGACTTCTTCGCATGGTATTTCCATTATGGCAGAACTTTGATGAACTATCTGTATTTGATAGTACGTTAGGCGCTGCTTTGTAAACATATATTTTCAAGAGGCAATCTTACTAGTTCAGAAAGCCCAGGCATCATCTCCGTTTCGTAGAAGGTAACGATCTCTAAGTTCCTGAGACGGTTCCGGGAAGAAACAGCAAGATCGTTCAGTGCTTGCGAATTAGATTCCAAGATGGTGAGAAGGTCGTCTCGTATGGATCCAGATATGCCTGTAATTAGTGATGCGCGCATACACATGTTGACAACTCTTCCTATCATCTTCCCAACATCGGCCACTGCCGAACCTCGATGTGGTGTTCCGAAGAAAACAATAGCTGAAAAAGCAGATATTGTGTCACCATACAGATGGTCGTTTTCATGTGCTAGAACAAGTGCCTTAAAGGTGGGTCAGAATCTCATTGGTACAGTAATGTGGAACTTCTCACCTGCTTACACACTATGCCACCCAGACTATGACAGACAAATATTATCGGGCGTTGTCTTCTTTCTGGAACAGCTGCGAGAGAGCTGAGAAGATTCCCAGAATAGTCCCGCAATTTAGCTACTGAGTGACTCCAAAAAAGCTCAGATGGATACCCGTAGGTATATATACGAGACCCAGGAAGGTCCCTCTGGAGCAGATCACGGAGCCACAAAGTTCCATTCTCGTGTTCCCATGTTGTGTAAGCGTTCCCATTCAGGCCATGTATAGCCACGATATCCACACCTCTATTGTCTTTCGAGTCGTCAGGCAACGTGTTTTCGTTAAGAAGGAAGAGTCCGTAGCGATCTTGGTGTTCGGTGGCTGGCGCCGGAATCTGCGAGGAACGCTCCCCAAGAGGTTTCTAGGAGATTCGATGTCATGAGTTGCTTCTACAGTTTGTTTAGGATGCCGGTTCGGACATGTACTAACCTCGGGAGCTAGCTCTTTCCGCCTAAGTTTCTTGAATCTCTTGCGTATATCAAACATCACGTTCGGCCGAGGAGGTCTAACATAAGACGAGATGTCAATTAACCTATGCTAAACGAAGTTATGAGAAGTAGACTCGAACTGTTGATCCAGGGCAGGGAGAGTTGTGTGGATATCTTTCCTTAGCCGCGCACGCCTGTGCCGCAGGTTCACCACACTAGCCCCACTCCGTAATGATATGCTCGTTCTTGTTGTGCGCTCGGATATACGGGTTTCTGGGTAGCTTGGCCAATCACGATCTTACATTAAGCGCAGGGCTGGCGTGACCTCTTCTGTATACTGAACCCGACGTCTTTTGAGACTTCAAATTTCGTATTAGAACCAGCGACTATATACGAAAGTAAGATTGCCGCATACAATGTATTGTTATTCGTACGAAGTCTACTGTTATAAGAATCACGTTGACTTGGAAGCTTCAAAATTGCGAAAACATTTGATGATGTCCGTGCACTCTGAGGGGCCGTGCGCTAGTAGATGAGGGGTAACCTGATCCTCTGTCTCCGCAAAACTGTGCAATCTAGCATCTAACATTATCACCATGGCTATGAGCAGGCTAGTGATGCCATTTCGATAATCATGTTTCCTCGATTCTGACAGCATCAGGCTCTCTAACAAAACCCTGGTTGTCGCTGGCTCCGGGGCCACCATGGCCACAGGAAATCTAATCTACAGGGTATTCTTTTTCCAATTCTCGATCGTGCAATTTCGGCTTATAGACAATAGCTTGGTGGCATAAATTTGCAAGATCTCGAAAAGCTGCATCAAAAGAGCATAAACTCTTACGAAAAGGCTGTACAAGAATTGAAAGACACCAACGAGCTGTACTTCTACACCCCGCGACACAGGGTTACTGTCAAAGGTAGTCTTACCATTACCAGCTGAACCTGCATTTTACTGCGTGCACCGCTGACATGATGTGCAGATCGAGTCGAATCTGCTGATGGCCTTCTTCTTGTTGTAACGCCGCCTCTTCAGGCAGGTGACGCATTTTTCACCAAAGATTTTGTTGATGAGATTAAAAGCTCCGAGTCGTTCTTTATGAAAGGGAAAGCCATAATCCTGATCAAGACTCCGTATGATATCCCCATTTCTCTCTTTACCTCTTCTCAGTATCTAACTTATGTTGTTAAGCGAAACCCATGAGCTGTCGGAAAGTGAATACAACGATTCAGTGCGAAGTATTAAAGCTGCGCTTCAGAATCTTGGCATATCGGCTGAAAGGTACATATGTTAGAGTCTCCAGACCATCGGAATTACCACTTACTTAGTATAGTACTCCTTTCATTCCAAGCGACCTTCACGGCGAGAACTTTATCGAACTCTCTTCCAAGACACCTTGGTATAACAGTGTCACGTTGGTTACTAGTCTAGATGAGATCTTGTGATTGGTTTCTTGTAAACAAAGATTTTCAAGGCGTCAGTGTATTTAAGAAACAATAGTTAACTATTCCAAGACCGATAAAAGTCTCAAAATATGAGTTTTAAGGCCTAAAGATACTCTTAGCGTGCTGGCATAGCAGGTTTCGAACACTAACGGCCTGCATTATACACCTGCGCTATACCAAGGCGGCTTGGGCTGTTGCGCAAAGCTCAAAGGCCTCGTCGAGCCACCACTTACGTGCGTAGTTGTCTGCTGCCTATTCTTAG